AAAAAAAAAAATCTACCCTAGGCTGGTTTAAGCTGTATTTTTCAGTAGGGTTTGGAACATAAACCAGCTTTGGGTAGATTTTTTTTTTTTAAGGAAATGGCATTTATTGAATGTCTACACATATGGACTCCATTAATTGCTTCTGTTGAAATTAAACAGACGAAAGAATCAGGTTTTATACAACTTGGCACAACACGATCAATGCTTTAAGGTCAGGAAAGTCATTCTTTATAACGAATAGACAACGGAAATACAGAGAAAAAGGACAAGACTAATTTAATCATCGCTATAATTAAGGTTCTTCGAACAGAGATCGATAATGTGCTGCCAGATTAAAACAAGGTCCATGCATTATACATACTTTTATAAGCGTCTGTGTTTAACAGCCTCATTTATCTGACCACCGCAAGGCCTGTTTCCATAGTAACCCAGCAGCGCCGGCCATGTTAGAGCACGGCTGCCATATATTTCATTCCCTTGTTTTATGGGCTTCTGTCTTCATGTATATTTGATATGCTAGAAATATGGCCACTGCAATGCAAAAGAGCAAAGGCATGTTAATATGCAGAGGACAAAGGTGCCTATCCTGAACCTTGGCTAATGCTATCTCCTTGCTAGCGTTCTCTGTTTGAACTTTAAGGTAGGGGTGTGTGTGTGTGTGTGTGTGTGTGTGTGTGTGTGTGTGTGTGTGTGTGTGTGTGTGTGTGTCTCTCAAACAGTGTTAATGTTTTGGCGGTAAGCAAGCTAAAACCCTGATCTACAAGCCAACTTCTAAATGACTAACTAATAGTTATAAATCTTAAACTTTCTAGCTTAAAAACTTGAAGCTTTTAGGAAACAACTGACCAAAACTACAAAAAATAAAGAAATAAATCATCTATTTACATCGAGGGAGACAAAACTTTTAAACATTAATTCTTAAAAGGTAGCCAGTTCAAAATAGCGAGCTAGCTGTCAGTCAGTAAAGCCTACATACCAAAAAATGAGCTAAAGCATATGCTAGCATGTTTAGAACACTATAGTAGCCTAATGTTAAGTCTTAAGATAACTGGGCCACATTTGCTATATCTTCTCTGGGCCACTATAGGCTAACGGCTGCAATAGCTAAAGTTTACTGTGACAAATATTTGCCAAAAGTGGCCCACAAACGTTTTAAAATAACTGGGCCACATTAGGCTCACAGTTGCATTAGCCAGAGTTTACTGTGCTGAATATTTGCCAAAAGTGGCCCATATATCCCTTAAGATAACTGGGCCACATTTGCCATATCTTCTCTGGGTCACTATAGGCTAACGGCTGCATTAGCCAGAGTTTACTGTGCTGAATGTTTACCAAAAGTGACCCACAAATGTTTTAAAAATAACTGGGCCACATTTGCCATAGTTTCTCAAGGCCACATTAGGCTCAAAGTCGCAATAGCTACTGTAGAGTTTACTGTGCCGAATATTTGCCAAAAGTGGCCCATATATGCTTTAAGATAACTGGGCCACATTTGCCATATCTTCTCTGGGCCACTATAGGCTAACGGCTGCAATAACCAGAGTTTACCGTGCCGAATATTTGCCAAAAGTGGCCCACAAATGTTTTAAAATAACTGGGCCACATTTGCCATATTTTCACATTAGGCTCACAGTCGAAATAGCTAGAGTTTACGGTGCCAAATATTTGTCAAAAGATATATGTATATCAATAAATATATGCCTTAAGTTAACTGGGCCACATTTGCATTCACAAGTGTGAGCCACTTTAGGTTTAGACCCAGATTACCCTTAAATGACTATGCCACATTTTTGCCAACAGTGGCCCACATTTGTTCTCCATCATTTGGGCCAAATTGATCATTTTCCACATGGGCCACATTAGGCTCACATTCAGATTACATTTTGCCATAATCTTTGCCTTAATAATGACACATATATGAATTGGAATCTTTGGCTTCCCTTTGCCATTGTACAGGTGGACCACTTCAGGCTTACACTCATTTTGTCTGGGCCGATAGAAGACCACCAGTGCGGCATAACTGCCTAAAGTGGCCCACATTCAAGTGGGAAGTTTCTGGCATCATGTTATCATATTTCATTTACATTGTTTGCTGATTTTATTCAACAAAACTAGCATAAGCCGAGTATTTCGTGCAAGTTGGGGCTATTTTGCCTCATGGTCAGGGCAGTAAGTGACTGTATTATCATCAATAACGTGACTGTGTTAAAAACAAAAAATGTTAAAAACAAAAACAAAATCTTACCTATGAAATGTTGTGCCTTTATGCTTTGTTTTCATTGTTTGTTCTTTACTACACAGCGCTAAAGTCCAGCATTTTCACATTGGCTTTAGTCTTGACTTGTGCGGTTGAATGACATTTGTCCTGGGAGGACTGTACAAATATGGCGGCGGTATTGACACATGCTCACAATAGCTAATGTATATATCTATGGCTGCTTATAAAACAGCTTAAATATTCAGGCAAGGCTTTTTCAAGTCAACATGAATGTCCTGACAATTTTATATTTAGTTTTATTTGTAGTTTCTGGTGCTGAAGTTTAACCATGACACGATTTGTTGTAAATTTGATTAAGACTGACACAATCTTGCTCATCTGGGAAAGGAACGCTCCTTAAAGTAAACATAAAAGAAATCTAAAAATCTATTGTGGACCTGGAGGTCTGCTAGTGACTTCTCTGTTTCTAATTAATAAAGTTAGAGGAGCAGAGGGCCATCACTCAGCTTTTTTATTTCTTGGTTAAAGGTTTAGAGGAGGCAGTAAAACAGCAGCGCGCCACACCTGATTTCATAATGAGAGAGAGAGAGAGAGAGGAAATGGGATGGAGGAGGAGAATGAAGAAACACGAAACACAAAGGAGAAAGAGGCGGGAGGAAAGCCATTTGCATTGTTATGAAATTAAAGTATTTCTGAATTTTAATTCTCCATAAATAATCAGTCATTATCTTTAATTATATATAAAAAAAGGATGTAGGCCTGTTTGAAATCACTTTAAAGATGCACTAAGTAATATTTGCAAAACACGATGTAATATCGGAAAATACATTTGCAGCCAATCAGCAGCAAGGGGTGTGTCAAGTAACCAGAAGTAAGGAAAAGAGGCTTGCCACACTGGATAGTTTATAGGCTGTAAAATATATGAACGTAGTATTCGTGACGTCACCCGTGGGTTTAATAAGAATGCAAAAGAAACTACAAGTAGGCGTGGCCAATTGTTGTTATTTTGTTCGAATGTCATTGCACAGACTGGGGATACCAAACAAGGGTAAAGAGGCGGAGCCTGAGCGGAGCTACAGACCTGCTAGCATTTTGCTTAGAAAGGCTTTTCTTTGGGAGAAACGCTTAATACTTCATTACCTGCGACTCGCTTGTGTTCTGACCACTTGTGTATGGCTGTTCACTACATCAATAAAGTGTTTAGACTATTAAACCACTGTTGTGATACATTGAGCCACTAAACATTGTTCTTATAATGTTTTTTATACAAGAAAGGAAAGCACATATTACATCCAAATACTTCAGATATAGTCTGTGTTAATAAACGCAAGACTATTAATGAAATCCAGGCATAACACTGTATGACAACACTTTAGACGACTGTTCTAGAGCCAACAGCTAATCAATCTGTCAGATTCTGGAGTGCTTTACATGCCTAAAGACAATTACAAATGATAATTGATCTTAAAAACAAATACATTTATAGAGATGGTATACAAGTATATAACTTCACTCACCTGGAAAATGGAGGCCATGTAAATGGTTTATGTGCACACAGCATCCCATATCATCTGATAATTGCAAGAAATAATCCCAAAAGGCAACTGACTGTGTGAAGAAACATAAAACAACACAAAAATACAATATATATGTCGAGTTCAGAGGCTAATCAACCGGAATCAGCTGAGGTGATTTGACGGCGCTCAAGGGGCCACGCCCTTAATTATGCAGACTTAATATAAGTGAATAAAAATTAAACGGATGAGTTATAGAAAAATCCACCCCCTCAAAGTTGTCATAAAGGATAATATTAGCTTGTACCAGGCTGTAAACATGTCTATATCAGCTGTAAAATTGGCCAATTTAGCATTGCAGTCAATGAACATCTGGAGTATATGGAGACTGCCCCCAAAGGCGAGTCGATGAACTGCAGTTTCAGTTACTTCCGTGTTGGCTTCAAGAGGGAGAGCAGGAGGTTGCCACTTGGTATAGCTACTTCATTTGGCAAAAATTAGCTTAAAGTCTGCGAAATCTAAATTCACAATGTTCATTTTGCTCACGCACATTGCTGTTTAGGTGAACAATTAATGTGTGCAAGTTAATCCACAGAAGAAAAAACAATATCTTTACTCAAAGTCTGAGCATCTGCGTCTGTGTGGCTCCTTCTCTGATGATGTCAGTTTGACCCTTCAGCCAAAACATTCTTAACCACGCCCCTCCTCCAGTTTACTATTAGAATAATAAGCAAAAAAGCCACGCCCCCTACTTAATATTCCATTTCAGTTAGAAGTCTCATCAGCATTGTAAATAAATGAAATAAAGCTGTTCAATAGGGATTTTTTTTCTAATATAGTCTTCATGCACAAATGTACAAAGATTGCGAAAAACAACTGAAGAATAAACATGTTTATTAGAAAAATGGGAAACTAAGCACTTAAATGCCCTTACAGCTTTGTCAAGTCATATGGAATAAGCAACCATAACCAGCACACCTAACTATACAAAGAAAAAAAAATACATTTACCGGGAAATAAAATGATGAAAGTCTATTTATTGTTTTAAGATCACTGTCCAGGGACCCTCATTATATATTTATGGGCCTCCTAAATAGCTCTGGGACCCACACATCAATGAAATGATTCACTCCTAAACAAAATCCAAAGTCTAATTTTTGCATAACAATTCATTCACATTATTTAGATTGAAAATATTGTATTATTGCACATGTATAGGGGTGTTTGACACAATCTCATAAAGCATTGTTGTTTTAAAGGGTCTGTAACTCACTGCAAAGATAATTAATATCTCAAGAGTTCAAATGCACCAAAAGTATCTGGATGCAGCCTTTATGATGCAAGCTGAGACTGCATCACTCAGCGATGCAATGTCAGACACAATGCACTCAAATGGAGCTAGTGACGTCACTGTGATGGGTAGGGTTAGGGGTGGGGTTAGGTGAGCCCATTAAAAAGCATTGGATGCAGCCCAGATTGCACTGCACCAGGTCTGCAGCCAGACCCCTTTCAAATGCAATGACTGTTTCATGAAGACTATTACGATCTGTGTTTAAATGAATCATTTGAGTCAGTGATTCAACAATATATTCATAAATACAGTCACTTTCTTCTTTTCCTAATCAATCAAATGTTGAATGAATTGTTTGAATTTATGATTCAATCAATCACTCATTAGCACAGGGATTTGCTGCCTCCTCCAAGTGCTTTTTTGGTGTCAGATTTAATTATTTAAGACACCAGCACAAAAGCACACCCCACAAAATTATGTTTAATTTAAATAGCTGGAAAATACATGCAAAATCACACCCCTGTGCTCTGTCATGCGAGCAATGCTTCATGTTGAATTATCTATAATTGGAAAAGTTGCATGTAATGTAACCGTCCTCTTAATGGAAACTCATTTGCGCTAACTGGAAAATTCACACCTCAGACATCACTCTTTGCATATATTAAATTACACCAGCTATAAAACAAGCCAGCTCAGAAAAATGTTTTGATATTTCACACTGTTCAGGAGCACATGATCCTCACGCGCTGATGTAAACAAGCCGCATCTTCTCCTCCGCCTATGCTTCACCACAAGGGGGCGTCAGCCAGAGCACTGAGGGAGGGGGAAACAGAGACGGTCTGAGCTGAAGAGAAAGAATTTGTTCACCCCAAAATCAAAACATCTGCAATCATTTACATACAAAAGAAGATCGATAGAAAGATTGTGGAAACCTGCAGCCATCAACTTCCATTTGTTTTTCCTACTATGGATGTCAATGGTTACAGGTTTCCAACATTCTTTAAAATATCTTCTTTTGTGTAGAACAAAAAACAGGTATAAATACTATAATATATACCATAATTTATACAGTAAGACACTGTGCTTTAGTATGGTTGAAAAACACTGTGGTAATAAACTACATTTAAAAGTATTGTATTGATTTCATGTAAAACACGCTTGAGTGTTATAGTCAAAATTCAAGCGCTTTAAATGTCTGTCTGTGTCAATTTCTAGTTGTTTTGTAATAATTTGGCAATACAAATGACAAAAAAGGGTAAAACTTTAGCATTGTTACATCTTTAAACACTTTTAGTTGTTGACAATTAGATGGTAACTTAACATGAGCCAGTGGCTAATTAAAGCAAATATGTCTGCAAGCTTAATTCGTAAAACAGAAAAGCACAGAATTTGTGCACAATAATCACCTGAAGACACTGTCTTTGGCTTCTGAAAGCATTTGGTCAGCAATGCCACTGGAAAAAGGCTGAACTTCTAGATCCTCTTGCTTTTTATAAGAGATTGAATAGACAGAAAGTTACTCACAAATGTTAAATTAACAAGTAACTGATTTTTAAAGAAAAAACAAAAAGCACTGTGTATAGCTTTATATATATATATATATATATATATATATATATATATATATATATATATATATATATATACATACATACATACATACATACATACATACACACACACACACACACACACACACACACACACACACACGCACGCACACATTGCTTGGCATAATTGAGTACGCCCCATTTTGAAAATGAATATTTTCCTCCATTTCTCAGTGAATATAAGCAATGGCATTTAAACAAAACATATTTAATAAACAGATATATTTATTAAATTAATATTTTAGTCACCAAACATATACATACAATTAAATTTAAGCAAAATATTGCAAAAAAAAAAAAACAAATACAAAATTAAATATTCAACTAATTTTTTTTTTTTTTTTTTGCTTCTCTTGGTTTTTCCTCTTTCTTAAATTTGTATTTAAAAGTTTT